CCATTTTATATATAATTTATTTGTTCATGCTTCATTGTTGTCACGTCACTTTCACACTATACGAATAAAGCACAAATTGAAGTCTGGAACTTAATGACGCTTTCAGAAACTACGCCATACTACCGCCTAATTTCATGTCTTTATCTCAATCCAGTTTTGATGTAAGTCCCCATTTTTCATTGCTCCCTCATTGACTGCTTTCATAGTCTACGATTTGGCCCGCGAGCGATCGAGCGATTGGGGCGGCGCTTGCTCCTTGTTTACAACTGAATCTTGGTCGATACCGCGGGCAAGCGCCGCCCCAATCGCTCGCTCGCTCGCTCGCGGGCCAAATCGTGGACTATAACAGCAGCCATTGGATTGGATGCTTTTTCCACTAGATTCACAGATCATTGTTTCATATATCTAGGTGATGACAGCTTTTCAGCCCAGCATTTTCATGCATCGCTTGAGATCAGCGTATGACTGGTTTGGTTCATTTACGACGACAAACATAATAGCTAATTATTATATGAACCGAGTACGTTTTTCCAGCAACTAGAGCTTCAATAGGTCTCAGAAGAAAGACAGGTTTAAACTGAGGTTTTTCTAAAAGTTTAGAGGCTTGCTATCAGCATCTGCGATATATTTTATGTGAGACCTTAGCATCCGCTTTGCATGTATTTTGCGTGTACTTCCTTTATCTCAATCTCAACGTCAACAATGCCAGAACTTTGAAGCACTGCCGGAAAATATGTCATCTAGAGAACTTATGCATGATTATATGGTGAAGGTAGAGATAGAAGTGAGATTGCTATCAGATAACGCAAAGGATACAAATAAACAAAGGCATATGAGGTTATGCTGAAAATATTGAGGGCAACAAATTCAATACATAATATTACAACAAAAGAAAATGGTAAGTAGAACTGAGATAAGTTAAAGTAATGTCAGCGGGACGAGTGCTTCGACGTCTAGGATAGGACTGGCTATCCGTTCTGTGGGAACCGAGTTGCGAAATACTCTGCAGCTAAATATATTCGCGGGCGCGGGCCTTTTAAATCCCAGTGTTGTGTTTTTGTGTTCGCACCCAGTACCATATCGGAATCGCAAGTATTCGCCCCCT